CAAGAATACGGAATGCCACAGCATTGTTTGCACTGCTACCATTCCCCTCAGGGCGGGCTTTAGTTCTCAGCACTAGTCTCTGGCATGGCTCATTCTGATTGGCCCTGCCCTTTGGGGAAACAGAATCCTACTGAACAGTGCTGGCAAGGGCTGCTCATGAAGGGGTCTATATGGCAGCTTCTTAAGTACCGAAGTTTGCATGCTCTGTGCTCCGATTTTCCTTCTGAATTCCACTCATCTGTGGTGCCTTCCTCTCCTCACTCCTCCACTGTGCATTTCTCTGTATGTAGATCATTCCTCTTAGAGTATTGATTCTTTTTAGTTGGCTTTAAAAGTCCAGTGAGGGTCTAATTTAAAAGGCTGATTCCTCAATGAAACCCTGATTCAGTTCTGAGGTATGGCTGGAAGTCACAGCACTTCTGACTCACAGAGACGTCGGACTACACCTTGACAGTGCTCTGATGTCAGTGCCTCACCACTTCAGTGGGTAGGACAGGGAGTAGGTTCTAGCTCCTTCCCTCTTCCTGGTACTGCAAGAAAGAGAAAAGAGAGAGGTAGGGATAGCCCTAGGTTACGAGCTTGAATGGCTGGGGTTGTGACTGTAGCACTGGCTCACACAGGGAAACTATGAAGGGAAACCAGTTTGTGGGGGAAGATAATGAGCGCCATCAGAGACCTGCTGCGTTTGACGTCCAAGGGGAGATGATATTCTGTGGGCAGCGAGTAAAATGGACTCGATGACTCAGGTCTGGAGGTTGATTAGTGGGCTGGATTCTCAGTTGAGACTCAGAGAGTCACTGCCATGGCCAAATTATTTCTTTCATGTGGCTCAATCATGGTTGTCTTGAGGAGGAGGTCAATCTATTCATGTCGTTCCCAGCATGAGAGAGTCCAGTGTATTTTGTATTGCATTGTCTAAGGGGAAGAGTGAGATTTACAGTAGAAAAGTCAGCTTCACAGGTTGTCCCTAAGAAGTGTTGAGGGCTTAGCTCCTCCTCTTAGAACTCGCTTCTCTTTCCTCCAGCCCACTGTGAAACACATCTCGGGTGTACAAACTGCACAAGGAAAAATTATGCAGGATAAAGGGAAGAGAAGAGAATAAAAGCTAAGGCAAGGAGTACTACTGTAATTGTTTCAGCTGGCCACAACCAGTTCCGGTTAAATAATGTTGTTCCTGCAGCGATCTCTCAGGTCACTGTGTAACCATCTCCAGACCCTTCTTCCAAGCTCGGTTGTTTCCAAAAGTTCTGTTTCTGCTGTCTTTAAAAAACCCAGAAGGCTACGAGCTCTCTTCAGGTGAAATCTTATATAGAAATAATATTTTATTACTGTAACTATATTTGATGAATTTACATATACATCGTGTGCTCATTCTAAAGCTGTTGCCTGGGTTTTCTGAGCTCTGAAGGAGTAAAAAAATTTAAACTAGTGGGCTGGGAATGTAGCTCAGTATAAAGGGCCAGCTTAGTGTGAAGTCCTGAGTTCAGTCCCCACCACTGGAAAAAAAAAAAGAAAAAGAAATTTGAGCTAGGTTAGGTTAAATGGATGATGGTGATATGTAGCAAAAGCTTCACTTCCAAATTTGTATTGGTTGCACGGTATTGATAAGATCGTGATATATTCAAAACGGTAGATGTAAATGGAACATTTAAAAAAACATGCTTTGTAGTCTAGGGATGCCATAGATAAAGAGACATGGTATGAGAACCTTGACTCTGAAATCTATGCAAAAAAGACTTCACCTTGTCATCAGTTAGATTCCCTGGGCCCTTAGCAGGTTCTGGACACTGAGATTATATTTGGGAAGACAACAGACATGGAATTTACATGGAATTTCCATTAAATGTAGGTAGACATTAAACACATGATTGTAATTACAAGTTGAAAGAAATTCTAAGTTTGCTGGGAATGTATGACAGGAGGCCTACACTTGTATGAAAGTAGCCAAAGATGTCCCCTTCCTAAGGAAATGATGTCTATACTGAACCATGAATTGGTAGTCACACACAGGGAAGGGTGAAAAGAAAGTATTTTGGGTAGGTGAGACAGTATTGCACAGGCCCAAACATGGGAGCTGGACAAAGGGACTAAGTCAGAATGGTTTTCTCCTAGCGACACAGATGCAGTAGAGAGCTGAGAGGAGGCCACATGGCGCAGGATGTGTGAGCCCATGCACTGGGGTGACTTGCTAAGTATCAGTGGATGTGTCTCCAGTCCCAGAACTATATACTCTTGAGTCCTGTTCCCTTGGGCCAGAGGCCAATAGGTAGCCTCCAAGAGATAGGGATGGAATACTTAGAATGTCTTTCAACTTGTAATTACAATCACCTGTTTGATGTCTACCTACATTTAACGGAATTTAGGCAGAAAGAAGCCAAGAAGAGAAACTTTACACCCACAGCTTTTACGTTTAAACCAGAAAAGTTGCAAGCTGAGCACTGAGCAAGTCCAGGAAACATATTTGTTGAGCAGGGGCGTGGTACAGGGTCTGTGTGAAGTGTGAAAAGCTGGACCCAAGTGCAGTTCTTCTTGCTCTGTGTGTGGGGGTCTCAAGGATTAGGACCCCATCATTCTGACCTCATTTAGCTTTTTAACTTTAGCTACCTCCTGGAGATCCCAGAACAGCCACATGGGGGGAGTAGGACTTCAACAAATGGATTTGGGGCGGGTGGAACATAGTCTGGCACACAGCGGTATCGGTCTTTAGGAAACAGCGCCTGACTGGATATGTAGGTGAGGTAGAAGAGAGCAGAGACGTGAGCAGAAATGGCAGAGCTGTTCGTGAAGCCTGAAATCACTGGAGGTGGAGAAGACCTGGGGAGAACTATCTGAACTTCACGTTAAACATGTTCTCTTTGAAGAATCTACAAGATATCAAAATGGAAATATCAAGTGAATAGTTGGTATGTGGGAATAATCACCTGCTGAATAGACCCGAAGACTTCTCTGCCTGGAGATGGTGTCTTTGTCTATTTACGATGCTGTACCAGGGGGTGCTAAAACACTGGTGAGCTCACAGTTAGTGGAAATTGACGTCTCACAGTTTTGGAGGCTGGAAGCCCAAGAGCAAGGCCTCAGCAGGTTGAGTGTCTGCTGGGGCCTACTTCCTGGTTACAGGCGGAGCGATGTTCTCACCATAACCTCACACGGTAGAGGCAAGGAGGCTCTCTGGGTCCCTTCTGTGAAGAATTCATACCATAAGTGCTCTGTCCTCAGGGCCCGGTCACCTCCTGAAGGCCTCACCTCAAGTGCTCTGACACTGGCACCTGGCTTCAACATAGGAGTTTGGAGTAAACATTGGACCTGTAGGAGATGGTCAGTAAGCCACGGTATGGGTGAGAATTTTTAGGGTGGTAACTCTATAAATTAGAATCATCCGGATAGATTGTTAAAACAACATGGCCCCACCCTCAGAATGTCTGATGCTATGGTACTTCCAGCATTTTTAAGACTTCCACTTTTAAGACTTTACTTCCACTTTTTAAAACTTTAGAAATATACTGGTGAATTGCTTTCTGGAAAGCTCACAGGAACTTACATTTTTACCAGCTGAGCATGAGAAACCCCATATCCACGTAGCCTTTCCACACTGAATATTGTAATTTTTAAAAATAGTACAAGCAGGAAAGTGATCTCATTGCAGTTCTATCTTGCACAACTTTCGTTATCAGCGTGGCCTTGGAATTTAGAAAATCACCAGGGACACAGGTGGTGCTTTTTTTTTCTTCACATTTTAAAATAATGTTGGCAGATCCTTTGGTTTTTGGAAAAGAAAACCTTTCAGTTTTTACATATTTGTATTTTAACACATTTGTCCTTAGGGCTCTTTAACACATCATTGAGTTTCTTCACTGGAGACAGATCGCACAGATGAAATGCGCCCTGATGTGAGTGATTCTTCACGGTGTGTCAGGTCTTTACTACTTACCTTTGTGGCTGTGACGAAAATACTCTGCTGCCAGTCTTATTCCAACTAGAGTACCATGAACATGTGGCCTGACAAGGGACAGAGGCAGTCTGCATTTGTATGGAGCATAGGTAAAGACATGACATTGTCATTTTAGCTGACCCGAGCCTGTCCTATGACACTGAAGGTGGCAGAGGCCCAGAAATTCTTCTTCTAAATGTAGAACAGAGTTGAATGGCTCTGCACACTGGACATGAGCTAATGTTCCGTCATGCATGGTCCCATTGGGTGTGGAGGCCAGGCAGCAAGGAAGCCACTGATGACCAAACCAGAGGCTGCTGGGAGCTCCACTGTCTAGTCACCGTGGCTCTTTCAGTCAGAATTGGGCAGCCTCCCTCCGTGGATATATTAGATGACTTGAAATTACACATCAATGTGTGCTTCAGAACACCTCCCTGGCCTGCAGTCTGCTTTGCTGATTTATGGCTGCATCTGCCTCGGTACCCTGTCATCACACCTCTTGGCACCTGACAGTCTCCACGCAGTGAGGCCGGGCTTCGGTCTGCCTGATGGCTGTGAAGGAGAGTTTCCCTGTCATCATCTAATTGCACTTCTTAAACATTCATGCAGGAGTTAGTGCATCTTAGCTATAGATGGTTCCTGGCCCTTTCATGTAAAGCATAGCGAACATGTTTGACAGGTAAAATGCATGGAGGCCAAGTCTCTTCATATCTAAAGGACACTGGATTTTACAATGTATTTTCACTGTGGAAATAGAGCTTTGGAGTCCTCTGGCTTCTCTTTGATGAGGAAGAGCACAGTGTGGTGAAATGGGCTGGAGCTCTGAAAACAGCCCAGTACAGCAGGGGTCCTGCGCATCGCCCCTGCCCAGGGCTGAGTCTGGGCACGGGTGGGAGTGAGTGGGCGCGTGCCTGGGCAGAAGTGCTCCCTGGGAAAGTGAGCCAGCTATTTGCCTGCTGGCCGCTGACCCAGAGCAACCCTGCATTTCTCAGGTCTGGTTCTCTCATTAGCGAAGTGGGGAAATATGTGTCTTACAGAGGTTTTGCGAGAATGAGGAAGCACACAAGACACAGGGCAGGCACTTAAGTGTCACTTCTCTTCCCTTACTCACGGGGGGTGGCCGCCACTTTGTGAAAGGGATTTTCAGCATAAGACCAGGACTTAGAAGGTAAGTTCTTCATTAATAAACAACCCAGTTCTTGGATAGTAACGGCTTAGCCTCAAGGGCTTGAGGAATTGTTTTATGACTTTGAATTGTCCTTGGCATGGGGCCCCATCCAGGCCATAGGAACAGGAATATCTCCTAGCGCCGAATGTTCCGCATTGTAAGCGTTCCGAACACAAATTTGCAAAAAGGAACTTAGTGTCCAAGTATCAAGTAACTGCGCTTGCATATTATGCATGCCGACCCAGTCCTGATGAGTCCACATCTTTTGTATTTCTTTTCAGGTTCTGTGGTAATGAAAGGAAAAGATGAGACTGAAAACAGAGAACGACCCTGCTTAGTGCTCCATTCAAACTCTGGCAGCTCTCTGCTTTCCTTTTGCTGGAGATTTTTCACAATCACAGTTACACCATAATTCGAACTTCCAAAAATCACACATTGGACAGAAGCTAGCTGGGTTCAGCCCCCACCAAAGCAAGGCAGAATGGAAGAACTCACGCACACCCAGTTACTAAAGTAAGAGCCCTGGTATCTTGGACTGAGATGTGCTCAGCTTACTCACATTGCTGCGTTTAACGAAAAACTAAATTACTTTTAATTTCAACTTTTTGATCAGTTCGGACTGTGTGCCCATACATAGTCCCAACCTTTTATGTTTGTCAGATTTGACAGATGTAATTACTTGAATATATTTTCCTTTAAGAATTCCTTTGCTAGATGAAACTTCTCTGGTTCAACTAAATTGATGGTAAGGTCATCAGGCAGGAGCAGGGGAAAGCTCTGACCTAGATTTTAGGGCCGTAACTGACCAGTTTTGTCACACTGGTTACATCAGATCATGTTTCTAGTCCTAAGTTCCTAATATTAGGGACTTGAGCAAAATAATCTCCATGGTTTCCTTTGAAAATTCAAGTTACAAGAACTTGTCTATTACATAAACCAAGCCCCAAACTCCTTTCTTGGAAATTCTGAATCTCTTACAGAATTGTTAGTGGGGTCAGGAATTTTCCACTCTGTTTCCCATCCATCCTTCCTTCTCCTGTGAAGTGCATTTGATAATAGATGTCTAAATATTAATTATAGAAACAGGGGCTGGGGATTTAGCTCAGCGGCAAAGCGCCTGCCTGGCAAGTGCAAGGTCGTGAGTTCGGTTCCCGGTACCGGAGAAAAACCAAAAAAAAAAAAAAAAAAAAATTATAGAAACAGTAATTTTACATTAAACCCAAAGGCATCTGGAGAGAAAGGAAGGTTCAAGTTAAAAGCATCCCTCAAATGTTTCATATGATAATCAGGTTATTCAATAAACTTGAAAAAGTTTTCAACTAATTTAGTGTTTGTTTTACAATTTCTCTCTATAAAGTTTACTGAGCAATGACTTTTCTATTTTATTTAAATCTATGTAAGTTGACATTAGTGAGTATACTTCGAGTAACTTCTATCACAGTATATGACTTAAGTCCTAAATTTACAATCATCTTACATTATAATGCCCTCACCTCCTTCTGATACATTTAAGGTTGACGGTGTTAACCGCACCTTTGGACATGTGGGATAACTTTTACTATTTTTAAAAACCTGACAACACAAACTCTTCAAGAATTGACTATAAAATGATCAACCCAACTTGACCATCACTCTACTTTTTAAAAGATGAGATTTGAGTGGAAAATCGAGAAAGCAAAAGTCTATTAATAATGACAGGAGGTGGGTGTATAAATAGGTTAGGTAGATTGTTGTGGCAGATATGTGAAATTGCTGTAATTCTAAAGAACCACATCCCGCTTTTTGTCACCTTCTCAGCAAATGGTGGTTTCGTGTTCGGAAAAAGATGTACTGTCATGTTGAGCTGATTTCATCAGAATCTGTTCACTCAAGAGGGGCAAGAGATTGCAACTTACAATTTCAGCACTCAAAACTAGGAATGGGTATTATTTGTTTTCATTTGAGTTTTATACCAGTGAAAGAGATGAAAAATTTTTACAAGCCTTTATCATCCCCATGACCAGAAAGTCCCCCGCTTTTCACGTGCAGGAAGTGATCAGGTGTCACTGATTCTGCGTCCTAAATCTCCTTGGGTGCATCTTCTTCCCTGTCTCCACCGTCGCTGCCGAGCCTTCTGTTGTCATTTCTTAGCTGGATGCCTGCGTCAGCTTCCTAACTGGTCTGTTTGCGACACTGCATCTCCATTCTGCCAACAAACTGACCACCTCTAACACCAGTGTAATCGTGGACCTCTACTGTTACCGAATCTTCCATTAATTCATGTTGCCTGCAGAATGAAACTCCAGCCTTCAGTGTGATAGAAAAAATTCTGTATCTTCTGCCCTCTGCCCTCTGTCCAGCCTTCCCTGCCAGCACCCTTTCGGTTCTCTTAACTTCTTGGTTATGCTGAGCCAGTTTTCCTCGCCCAAGTCACCTTGCTTTCCCACCACACTTGCATAACTCTGCACGTACTGCACTGCTTGCTTGGAATGACTTTCTTCATTTGTTCATGGAGCAACTCTGATTCATCCTTGAAGCCTCTGCCACCACCTCCTCTCTTCACTTGGACTCCTTCCTGCAGCCTGGGGTGGTGCTGGGAGCCACTCTTGCCCTGTGCCAGGCAGACGCCATGGCCATTGCTTACTTCCTCCTGTCGCAAAAGTGGCACATCATTGTCCTGTGATGCAGTCATCTGTCTTTTTCTGCACTGAGATGTCCTAGGTGCAAAGGACTGCACTATCATAATCTTTTTCTTGCTGGACTTCATACAATGCCTGACACACAGTAGGCATCCTGTAAATGTACATGAACACAATCAGTGTGTAAATAGTCTAGGAAGGAAAAGTTCAGCATGGAGTAACTTTAAATAGAGATTAGTTATGACAGTTGCTGGTTAAAATGGTATTTAATATATCAAAGCTGCTTCAACCTACAGCAAAAAGGCCTCAAACAGTAGATGGAAGAAAAAATTCGCAGTAAATTCACTATTGACCAAACAGAACCACATTAAAACAGCCATCTTTCCTGGTACTTTTAAGTTAACTTGGGCAGGAAAAGAAGACTTTTTTCTCAGGTCATTTCCTCTATTACTACCTGTTTGTATTATATAGTATTTACATTCCTCGTAGGGAGCTGATACATGTACATAACACGTCTTAATTCCTTCCTTCATCCCCCCATGCCCTCCGTCTCTGGGTTGCCTTTCCCTTTGAGGAAGATCTGTCTCCCTTCTTCCTATTATCTATCTTTTATTTTGCTTTTTATTTATATTTGAGATTCTCATATAAGAGAAACCATGTGATAGTTAAGCTTGTGTGTCTGATTTATTTCACTTAATGTTATGGTCTCAAGGTGCATTCATTTTCCTACAAATGGCTCAAGTTTATCCTTGGGTATGGCAGACCAGTATAGTATACTCTATTGTGTGTAAATACCATATTTTCTTTATCCATTCAGTTGCTGATGGACACACAGGCTGCTTCCAAGATTTAACTATTATGAATTGCGCTGCTATAAACATGGGTATGCATGGATCACTGTACTATGATGTCTTTAACTCTTCCGAGAAGACACCTAGAAGGAGAATAGCTGGTTTGAATGGAATTTCTAGTTTCAGTGTTTTGAGAAATCTCCATACTGATTTTCTCCATACTGCACTATTTTCATAGTGCTTGTACTAGTTTACAGGTGCAGTTATCACTGGCATCTTAAAAATCTCTGGAACCTTATCAGTCACATTCAAAACAAAGGAGAGGGGCTGGGGATTTAGCTCAGCGGCAAAAGCGCCTGCCTGGCAAGCGCAAGGTCGTGAGTTCGGTTCCCGGTACCGGAGAAAAACAAAAAAAAAAAACAAAGGAGATTACAAGTGTTTATACCTCTTCAACAATTTCTGCATTTTATTTTAGAAATTTTACTTTTATTTTCACAGTATACTTCTGGGAATAGCCTAAGTTCCCAATGACTTTCTTTGCATAGGAAGAAGTAGCTGGCAAAACAAAATAAATCTCCACAAATGTGGGCATCCAAAAACAGCCTGGGACTCTATGAGCTTACTTTTTACATAAGCCTCAGTAGCAAGGCTAAAGCGAGGGACAACAGAAACTTAATCTTGGTCCATGTATGCATTTCTTGCCTTCTAAAAATCTAGAGGTGATCTAGTGCTAGTTGCAGAGGGCAGGGGGGTTCAGTTCTTGCTCTCATCATGTACCCAGTTGCTTCTCTCAGGCTTTTCCAAAGCAAATGTGAGACAATGACGTACTGCAACTACAGGCAACATCTGCTGAGAGTTGTCTAAGGTTGGCTACTAAAGACATCTGAAATTCTGACACCAAAAGTGGTAGCATAGTGCTCTCTATTAGAAGCAAGAGATAGATTTTACTACTGATGTTTCAGAACATGTTTCATGCCCTCTGAGAAGCTCATACCTGTTTTCAACAAGTTAAAAATGTTATACAAGGTCAGTGCATATAATGAGTTCTAAATAAATTAAAACATTGTACAAAGTTCCATGTCCATAATATTGTCTTGAATAATGAAGTTGAAAGTAAATGATCTTTACTTTTAGGAAATCTGATTGCTAAGCAAATCCCATGGTTGTAAGCACCAGGGAAAACAATAATGGTTTGTATATATATAATGGCCTTACATATATACAAATATATAAGGCCACCTGAGCTATACATACATACCTTTCAGTGTAACAGAGGAAACAAGGCAGAAAAATGCATTCCAAAGTGGGAACAGTGATTATTTCTGGGTGGTGTCCTACATTTTCTGTATGGAAAATGTGCATGCGCTATTAGCAGAATGTGTACTGTTTTTAGAATGACATCTGGAACTTCCCCATTTTGAAGGTATTGTTGCTGTCTCAGGAACTGTGTGCATGCGTTCCATGTGAGGGCAGAGAGCTGGCAGGTGAGACTCCAGTACCGGGAGAAGTTGGGTGCAGAAAGGCTGGCAAGTAAGGTAGATGGAAAAAGGCAGGTAATGTGGAAAGGGCACACTGTCACGAGGGGCCAGCTGTTACTCATGCCCAGCTGACCATTGCAAATTCAGTATTAATTTCCCCCCAAAAGCCAGATATCTAGATTTTTATTTGAAATCTTTGTGCAGGGCTGAGGATTGAACCTTGGGCCTTGAGCACATTACAGCATGCAGTACCACTGAGCCACATCCCCAGCTCTCTTCATAATTTTTTTCTAAATTTTGAGTCAGGGTCTTGTTAAATCTCCCAGTCTGACCTTGCATTTACAATCCTGCCTTACTCCCCTGAATCACTAGAATTACAAGTGTGCACCACTGTGCCCGGCTTTATTTGAAAAATGTTAGTACAAATGATTCTTTCAAAGATGTCTGTAAGCCAGATGTAACTTCCAAGCGGTGTATTTGAACGGCTGCTTAGATGTTTTGGTTTATGATTGGATAAATTGATTCACAACATTTCCGAGCACACTTGACATTGAGGTACATAGGAAAGTACATCAGTGTTTGCACAGCGCTTGGAAAGAAGCCTCATTGCAGAGAGCTGTCCAGACTGTGGCTCCTAGTGCCCCGGTCTCAGCCCTCCTCTGTGGATTGCTAAAGGATAAAAGTTCCTTTTCTTTTGGTGTGTGTGTTGGGAGAGTGCGCTAGGTTTGAACCCAAGGTCCTGTGCATGCTAAATAAGTGCTCTCCCCTGAGCCACTCCCCAGCTCTCAGAAGGAACCTCAGGCATCCACTGAGGCTCCCCCTTTGGCAAGGTGCACCGGATTAGAAAGCGCACGGTGAGGCGTGAGAGACCAGCGGAGCGTTGGTGGGACCAGGAATACGTGTAGAATCTCAGCACTAACGGCCAGGAGGGTGCTGGCTGGATAGCCTCAGGGAAGAGCCTGGGCCCTTGAGCTGCTGTGAGCTCCTGGCCCGTGAGAAGGTGAAGCGGGATGCAGGGCTTGCATCCCTGGGACTGGAGTGGATGCTAACTTAGAAGCCCGGCCCCACTCCTGTGTCTCTACCTCCTCTCTCCCTTCCGGCTTTCCTCTTTCCTCTTCCTTCTTCCCCTTTTCCTCCTTTCTTTCTTGCTCCCTTCCTTTGGGCAGGGAGGATGCGGGCAAGGAGATGCAGCCCTACGCCTTCAGCGAGCGCACCTCGCTTTCAGCACTGAAGAGAGGTTTGCCCGACTCAGCCTCCCTCAGTACTGACCACCCAGCACCCTGTGCTCTGCTCTCACCTCTCCCCGCGGTTTCCTTCCTCCACCACCCACGCTAGGGCGCAAGGTGTTCGGCAGCGAGTTGCCGGGCTGGGGAGAAGCTTACGCGCCAGACAAAAAGAGAATTCAAATTATTGCTGTGGAGGCTGAGCGGGGAATAATAATAACTGGGTAACAAGGCGTTAACAACGCAGGAGGTTTTCAATTCTCCCAACAGATTTAAAGAAGGAGCTTTAATTGAGTGGTCAGCTGGTGATTCATCAAGGCTGAGGTTTTGACGATACAGTACTGTGTGACTGTACTCATGTAGCTCTAAAGGTGTTCAAGTAATTGCCCAACACTGCTGTGATAAAACTTCTCCCAGTTCCATCGGGATGAATATTTTTTTCAGAGCTTACATTTAAAAAGGGAATGAAATGAATGCTTAATTATAACAATAATTAATATTAACTGACAGATATATTGAAAGAAGGCCCTATTCTCGCGTATAAGATGCATTTACAATGAATTTTTTTTTCTGTACTGAGGATGAAACTCAGGGCCTACACACTGAGCTATATTCCAGAGCCTACTCCTCCCACTTTTAGATTTTTTTTTTTTAAATTTTGAGACAAGTTCTTACCAAGTCACTAAGTTACCCAGGCTGGGCTTAAACTTATGATCCTCCTGTCTCAGCCTCCGAGAGTTCTGGGATTACAGAGGTGTATAACCATTCCTAGAAAAATCTTAATGTTGCATATCTACATTTATCTAAATATGCTACATATGCTGGTTGATCAATTTTGTCCATATAATAACTGTAATAGTAGCTGCAAAAATTCATTATAGAATCAGAAAATATTTCAGTTAATGTGCATATTTTACTGCAAAGAATTACGATAGAGTGATCAAGAAAATATTTTCAAAGATTAACATATGGCATAGTAGGATGTAATTTACATGGGAAAGTGGCATGGAAATATGAGTTCAAGGAAAAAAGGAAATGATGTAAAATTTCTCATGATAAAGAGTTTTTAAAGTAGATTTTAAAAATAAATGATGGTGTCATATTTCTATGGTGCTTATGTTCTCTTGATTATATCTAAGAGTAATCTAGTAGTTTAATTTTAAGTACGTCAAAAGTTATGCCAGAAAACACATCTTTTTTAATTTTAAAAATAAAAGGAGGAAAACATTAACAGACAGACAACTTTTACAAAATAGCAAAGGAACAGTACAGACAATACAGAGTTACAAACAAAGTGGTAGGAAATTAGCAATGCTTGCTGTATTACATATTGATATCTTCAAAGTGGTTTCTCATGAAAACAGATAGAGACATGCAATATTGATCCATCAAGGACTCATTAACAGTTTCTTTCAGCAAAGAAATAGAAGACAGTAAAACAAGTATGCTAACTATCCTGTATATACATACATACAAAATTTCTCCTTCTTTCTCTTCTCTTTTCCCACATCCCAGTTGCCCTTTACCCTTGAGCATTTTCCTATCATTTCACAATGTCTATCATACCTCTGAGTTAAATTAACTCTTTCAGGTTTTACACTAGTGAGACAGTGCGGTGCTTGCACATGCAGGTCTGATTTATTTCACTTATGAGTATGGTCTCTAGTTGTGACCATTTAAATATAAAGGCCTCGAGTTTATCTTTCTTTATAGCTGAGTAATATTCCATTATATAAAAATACCACAATTTTCTTAGTGGTGGACCACTGAGGACCAATTTCCTCAGTGGATGGACCTTTGGGTTGCTTCCACAATTTAGCAATTACAAATTGTGCTGCTATGAACACAGGTGCACATATATCGCTGTGATAGGATGCTTTTAGATCTTCTGGGAAAATACCCAGAAGAGGGATAGCTGGGTTGAATGGGACCTCTAGTCCTAGTTTGCTGAGGAATCTCCAAACTGATTTCCACAGTGGTTTTACCAGTCTGCATTCCCACCAGCAGTGGAGAAGGGTTCCTATTTCTCCACAGCCTCACCAGCATTTGTTATTGGTTGATTTCTTAATGCTAGCCATTCTTACTGGGGTAAGGTGAAACCTCAGTGTTGTTTTAATTTGCATTTCTCCAATGACTAATGATGTTGAACATTTTCTCATGTATTTATTTGCCATTTGTATTTCCTTTTCTGAGACGTGTGTATTCATCTCAGCTGCCCATGTTTGGATTGGGTCTTTGAATTTGGGGGTGCTGATATGTTTTAATTCTTTATATGTTCTAGATAGAAGCCCTTTGTCTGAGGGAGAGTCAGCTAAAATTTTTTCCAAGTTTGTGGGTTTTCTTTCTACTCTGCTGGTGATTTCTTTAGATGTGCAGAAACTCTTCTGTAGGATGAGATCCCAGTTGTTGATTCTTTGAAGTAACAAACACATCTTTGCCACTAATAAGTTCATGATGAAAAGGTTTAGATGCACATTTTAAAGTGTGTGAGGGAATATAAAATTTTCAAATTATTTTAGGCAGATTGCAAACCAGATCTGAAGACCTCAGGCTCTGCAGCGGCGCCTCAGGTCTGAGCAGCAAATGAAACCCTCTTTACATTTCCTTTCCATCTAAGGTCAGCCTCCAACTCCAGAGCCGCCCTGGTCTCTCACTGCCGCAGATTGTGCTAGAGAACACTCCAAGCAAAACCCAGAAATTTGGCCAGGGGTGGTGGTGCATGCGTGTAATCCCAGCACTCAGGAGGCTGAGGCAGGAGGATCATTGTGAGTTCAAGACCAGCTCTCCTGACTCTGGATTTACATCTCCCTCCCACTGCTAGGGTCCACCGCAGGGGTTTGGCAGGTCAGGGTGTTTGCCACATTAGGCCACTGTCACGTGAGACCATCATGCCCTTTTCTGCCCGCACCCCCAAACTGGCTTTCTTCTTAGTAACCCTCTCATCACTCCAGAGCTGAGGGCCTGGGCCTCGCTGCTGCTGCCCTCAATCTGTGGGGAGAAGAAAAGAAAGAAGGAAGTAGATGCTTTCTCCTGTTTTCTGGTTTTTAAAAATTCTGAGCCCTAGAGATCTCCTTTCTCGCTCCTCAGGCAGGAAGAACTAGAAGATTTCGTTCACCTGGAGGGCTCTTTGTCTTTGCCTGGTTCTGGCTACTGGTTCCAATGGCCTAGGGCCCAGGCAAGAGAGGGAGAGGAAAAGGAACCAGGAAGCTCCCTGGTTTGAATTCTGGTCTTCACTCCCAGCCACCTGCTTGCTGCTGGTTCATTTTATTTTATTTCTTTAAATATCATCACTATCATCATCATGATCACCACACCCCCCCCATCAGCATCACCATGGTTTGGTGCTGCAGAAGAACTAATTTTTTTTGTACTATAGCTCAAATCCTTCTCATTTTTAGAGCGCTCAAATAGCTGCTACCTGGTCTATTTTCCATCGGCACTCAGTGGGGAAGAGAGCGTGGAGTCTGCTTATCTATACCTGGGGCCTCTGTATTCTGATTTTGACTTCCTGTGGCAGGGGGAGCATTTTCCATGTTTGGTGGTTAGTGGGTGCCCACACCCCTGGCCTGGCCTTCTCCACCATAGCTGGGTGCACGGCACAACAGTGTTATCTTTGTGTACCTTGTGCAACAGGGCTCTAGGATGTTCTCATCTTGCAAAACTGAAACTTCTCATTGAACAACTTCCTTTTAGCCCCTGGCAATCACCCATAATACACTCTTGGCTAGGCATTTCAGTTCTTCTCTGTTTCTCCTTATTAGAAATTGCAATGACTATATAGTTACCAACATTCAGAAAAATCTCTTTGTGTGGAGCCTAGACCTTCTAAGTGTA